TCTTCCAAATAATGAAATAACATGACCGGGGACCCCTCGAGCATGTAAAAAGTCACTTAATTCTGTAACTTTTCATTAGTGTGTTACTGGCCCTCCCAAACAACTCACATCTTTGTCAGTGAAGCTGACTGTGCTCCCACATCTCTTCCTTCATTCTGCCTATCTACATTAAGATCCAGAATTCTGATATTAGAGTCTGAAATTAAAGTCAGAATTCTGAGATTAAAGTCAGATTTCTGACTTTTTTTTACTCATATACTGAAAGGAAATTTAAAAATCAGTTAACTTCTTTTTATTTTTTCAGTGGCCCTAATCCTCTTCTGTAAAGGTTGCATCCATGTAAAATCTATAAATATAAAATTAAAAGTTTAGACGTCTCTCTAAATCTGTTATGAAAGTTAAACTCATATTGATTCATTACAGAATGATATAGCTATTCCAAGCAATCAAAACTATTTTGATTATTGTTTCATCATAGGTAACAAAAATACATGTAACAAAAACTAATAAACAATTTTTTTAAAAGATAATAGTAATTGAAAACAATACCAATAAAAACCCTTTTATAGAAATGTTTTTCTAAATGACCATGAGAGCCTAAAGTTATGAAAGAGATCAATTAAATAGAAGCTGGGTGTTAAAGGATGTTGCAACCTAGCATATTAAAGGAAAGTTAAGTGGGAGGTAAAAGTGTGATGCAAAACTAAGTTCAGTGGTCTTACCAACAATAACAAAGTGGGCTGGACTTTTCACCAGTTGTCAAAATTGATCTTTTAGATGAAAGTAAATTTTGCCATTCAGTAGTCATGGTACAGCACAAAACATACTTTTCAGAAGGCTTGAATTATATATTCAAAATATTTTATTATTTTTTAGCTTTTTAAGTCGCTAATGTAGTATTCAAATTTTCTTAGAAACTGAATCTTGAACTGTTATTAACTGTAAGCTTAACTCAGATATATAAATAGCTAAAATGTATCTGGGTTCCTTCTTTTTTAACCACAGAATATCCCATAAAAAAACTTTCATCTGTTTCAGAAATACATGCGACTTCTAGGAGCCCTTTAAGGTCCTCTTCACCATATAATTCTTCAGATCCCATTATAGTTGTAGGATTAATATGTTTACCCACTGTATATGCACCAGATCCATCTGGGAAGAAGCTTTTTAAAAGGTCTCTAAATAAATACACTCTGTTCTCCACCTCCTGTCTCTGTCCCTGATGTGATTACACCATTAGATAGCCAGTGCCGGTTAACCATGATAACACAATTGTCTCTATAAATGAAAGCAGGACATTTGGGAGGAGCAGGGTCTTGCTCTGGGAGCCGTATTTAGTGGTATGCTTTTGTTCTCTGTGAGAAAGAACGAAGCTTCTTCTAACAGGAAAAATGTGGAAATGGGTCCGAGAAGGGGGACCCATTTCCAGTGTTGTTCTCACAGCTTTGCTGCGCAACAAATAGAACACTGGATTTCATTGTTGCTCTCCTCAGTTATGGTGTTTTGTAAATGTCATCATTCATCATCAGAATGGGAAGCAGAGTTTCCACAGAAATATGACCACAGTGTGTGTAGTGTCTTGTTCTTTTAGTGGAATTTAAGGGCGTCCTGTGACTCATGTGGCTTTTCTGTATTTCTTCAGCTGGAACATGTCTCTGTGTATGCTTAACAACACTTGCAGATATTTAAGCATTTCATCTTTGGTACTTTCAAGTAAAAAAAGTTTTTGTTGTAGCTTCTCCACTAGGGGGACATAGAGAGCATGTATAATACATTTCTATATTAAAAAGAAAATAAACAGGTATTCAGGGATTTTAAGTAATTTTACATGCATTCTTTTTAATGAAAACAGCATTCAGATAAATTCTGAACCATATAACTGTGGATAACAACATGCAACATTCAGAGCTAATTAACAGAGCTAACATTTAATATTTCTGGTGGTCTTCTGACAAACAGAACCAAACATTCTCACACTGGTTCACTCGACACACATCTCCAGGTGCTCTAGGAGTTGTCGGTATTGACTAGCTGGGTACTCGGCCTGGCAGGAGGGACACTCCAGGAAACTTTGGTCCAGCCTGCTGGTGTGAAAAGAGGACTCTGGACTGTCTCTGTGGGGCATCCCCTCTTCACATGAGCTGACGTCCTGCTGGTGCGTCTACAATAAATAAAACGTCAGTCGGGATGAAGCATCAGGATGAAACGATCTGTCTTATTCTATGAGACTCAAAGCTGCAAAGATTTTACAGTTAGAAATTATTGATAAACTTCACTTAAAACTAAGAGGTTTGGCTTTAGTTGGTAAGACACAAAACAGCGTAGCAGCAGACAGCTGAGCAAAGGGCAGAAAATTATTTTAAAAATGTGTTTGGGGTATGTGCAAAATGCCTTAATACAGCTTTAAGTGTCATCAATGAAGTCTGTGCTCCTTGCTGTATTCATGCCAACCTTTGACTGTTTTGGGTCAAGGCCTTTAGTTTTTGGCAGCTTCTTCAGAATTCTGAGCATTTGCTTCTTTAAATATGAGGAGTCCCGCTTTGCATCCTCAAGGTCTTGTGCAGAAATCTTTATCTAGAATTTCAAAAAAAAGTTGCAGACAGCAGTGAAAGCTGTAAAACTGTACAGGTATTGGAAGCACATTTTTTCTAGCACCCAAGAATACCAGTAGACTGCCTTCAAAACAATGTCAAATATTGGTTAATGACAAAACCTTATAGAGGGGAAAGAATAAAATAATCTGTGGTCAAATGGATGGGGACCATCCAGAGACCAGCAACAAATCAGAACTGAGATAGGAGGTAGTGTGTCAGCCATACCTGTCTTTTCAGGTCTGCAATTTCTTCTTGGTCGGCATAGTGATGGTTTAACACGTACCTCTGATAGAAGCTTGCCTAAGAAACAAGTATTTTTTCTAGTTTAGTTATTTTTTCCTCACATGAATGGAAGCATTACCCATAATAGGAGCACTACATATTCCAGCCTTTAATTTACTTTGGCTACGGCTGTTATTTTCTTTGATTTAAGGCATACTGACCAAGACATTACTCTATCGAAAACTTCAGCAGTACATACCAAGACCAGAGCCTACCAGGTACTGCAAAAAAAAAATAAAAATGTGTACTTCTAGAAATTACTAGGTACTTTTCCTCAGAAATTTGATGTTCTAAAACCTTCTCGAAACGCAGCAGGTAGCTAATTTCCCAGAGCTGTTTGGTTACATAAGAAGCGGCATTATTATTCAATGTTACCCATTATAATCACATTATCCAGCCTGGTTAGTGAAGGCCCCTGATGAGTTCCAGGTAAGCAATCAGAAAGTTGTGGGAACGTTTGGGGACCTCTACACATTAATTTAAAGTACAGTACTGAGTAAGTTCAGTAAAACTAGTCTCTCATTTTAGGCAAAGTAGAGATTGGATCAGATGGTGCTATAACCTTGACATGGGCTGAAGATTTACCTGCAGCTCCAGGTTTGTAGACCTTCTCCTCTCCTCCTTCAGCTTTGCTTGGAGCTCTTTAGTCTCATTCTTCAGTTGTTGTTCTTCCTCCTCTTTAGCAGTTACCAGCACCTGATCAAAGACCTTATCTTGCTTTCTGAGCATATCCAGCTTGACGTCAACCTCTTTCTCATAGCTTTCAATGCATTCCTCAATCTGTTTTTGTGTCTCTTCTGCATTAAAAGAATCAAAAGATGACCGAGTAAGATTTTTAAAAAGTGATTTAGTCTTAAACATTGTGATAATGCATTATTGAACGATATAATTTCAACAATAAATCAGGTGGTTATCTTAACGGTCACTCTGGCCTACTACAGAATAATCTTGATCTTGAAAATATTGTTGTGACAGTCTGTTGCCCACTGTTCCATTAGTGGTGGGTGCTTGCTGCCCACTGTCCCTTTGCCTCACCATCTGAATGCTCCTCATTGTGTTGCTTTGAGCGGGCCTGATTGGTTTCACTCAGCTGCTTCTCCAGCCATAACACTTTGTCCAGAATTGCCCTCATATAGGCCTCTCTCTGCTGGTCATATTCCAGCCACTGCTTGCTCTTTTCCAAAGCCTTAAAGAATTGGATGAAAGAATAAGAACACAAAATGACAGTTGGAACAAGAGAGGATAGATATGAGGAACCGACACTTAGTGAGATATATTAATTGCACACAGTCTTGTTTCTTTACATGAATAACTAAAGTGAGTAAAAGTAAATTTCAGAAAACTTGCATCACTGAGATCATTTTGAAGATGTAAGATAGCTTCATCGTTGGAGGAGACCTGTTCTGATGGGGGATCCTATAAAACAAGAAAAAATGAGCAGTCTAGAATCCAACATTTGAAAATCAACCACTAATGTTCACATTATCTATACTGCAACTATAAAAAAAAAAATCAAAGGAAGGTCCACAAAAAAAAAAATGAAAGCAAAAATGAAAGAGGAAAAAACCTGATGCCATCTAGTGGTTAAAATCTCCAGAGTGAAAATTGAAAGATAGTTTTCAGGCAAATGCTTCAGTTTAGCTGTTTTTTTGTTAATAGTATTGTGTCAACAGTCTTGTGGTTTTAAAAATACAGAAATTTCTCTAATATACGGAATACAAAAAAAAAAATAAAAATCAGCAAAACAGTGTTAAATAAGTATCTAAATGTGACATATATATCACGTTTTGTCCAATGGATACAAGATCTCTAGAGACCCTAAAGAACAAAATAAAAACCCCCAACAAAAAAATATAACAAAGAACCCTCAGTTTTCTTGGGCCAGCTATAGAGCCAATCTAATGCTGAAGGGAACAATGGTGGTCCATACAATTTGAGAGAATCTGAAAAGTTTTAGCAAGCAGAATGAACAAATGAAATGTGTGTCGTTGATAGATCTGCATTAAAGACTGAAAGTTAAATTTTTAGCAAATGCTGCTTAAACCAAACAATTTTTATATGTTTTTCCCTAAAATATCTATTTGTTTTTCAGATGGAAATGTATTACATGCATATTACATTGAAGAATCTGGCTGAATCTGGCATTTATACCAAAATGTAAGCAGCTTTGTTATAAACCATCTTATATTCTAACTCTTAGTTCTCCCTCCAGTTCTGTAATTGTGGGAATATCTCTTATTGATGCCTCTGGCAAAATAACAAAAATTTTTATTCAGCCTCATACTCACTCCATCCATAGAGTGCTTTTCTTTGGGGCAGCGATCCTCTGAGGAGGGAGAGGTTTTTTCATCTTTTTTCAGAAGATGCTGACAACTCTCCAGCCGCAGAGTTTCAAGAGCGAGGAGTCTCTGTAAGTACACCAACAAGAAAAAGTGGTTTAAGAAACAAACAGAAAACCCAATAAAAATAAAAGATATAGCCAAGTACTTGAAGCAGGCAGGCATTCTTTACAATGACATTTAAACATCTTTTATTTAGCTGTGCGTTTACCTCCACAAGCTTATTATGTTGTCTGTGATGATCCGACACATCAGCTAGTGTCTTCTTTAGAAGGATATTCTCCTTCCTTAAGCTGCTGACGGCTTTCACAAGCTCAGAGTTGAGCTTTTTCCTGTGCGAGCGATTACATTTATAGGCTGCCATCTTTACCAGCTGTTGGAATTAGAATTAAACAATAAAGATTGAGACACTGCGGAAATAAAAAGACTATTCTGAATAAATAAATAAAGTTGGCTTTACATCAAAATCGACTGATATAAAACATATAATAGATGTTAAAAAAGAGCTCTGTGAAATTAAGGCCCTGTAATAAAAATATTGAGTATTAATCAGCAAATAATTGAAATAAAACAATAATATATGTATTATTATTGTCTTTAATGCAGACCCCCCTCAATGTATCAACATTAGTTAAACGTGTAGAAAACTAGAGGAAATAAAATCAAAACAAACAGTGTTATATACGTTAGGGATAAAACATTTAATCGGAATAATCGATTATCGAACTAATCTTCAACTAATTTAGTAATAGATTAATCATTAACTTGACTTTAAAGACTGTAATATAGACCTTTAGGTGACACATCAACCGACTCTTGAGCAGCAATTACAGCAAAATTGTAAAAAAAAAAAAAAAAAAAAAGAACTATGTAAACATTTAGCATTTAAGATAAAAAAAAAAACTTGAAAAGTTTTAATTTCAACTGGTTTAATTTCCAACTATTAATACATGATCCGACCAATAAGCTATTAGTCACACCAAAAAAACAGATTCATAATCATTAGTTGCAGCCCTAGTCTACATGCATTTGTGGGTCCAGTCCCACATTTGCATTTTTATTTAATTTCAGTTGTGATAGTGCTGTAAGCGTATTTGATTTGATTACTAGTCTGCTTTGAGATGTTCATTGTGTTCATCAGAAAAATGTCTGAGGAAAGAAGCTCTATAACACAGTTCTCTATAGTATAGAGAATAGAGCTGAGAGGATCAACTAGCTAACCTTTCCTCCTTCCAGGATTTGTAACGGTTGGTGTCAGAAAAAAGTTAGCTAGCCTCCCTGCAGATCACACACATCCCGGTCACAGATTTTATAGAGTCAATAAACATGTGTTTTAGTCTTTGTTCTTAGTTTTCTTTTGAGATTATACAATTGCAAATGTTTTAGCCCGGTTATATATATAATATGTACATACATACACATAAAAGATATGTGTATGATACGGTAATATAAAGTATTAGAATGAAAAATAACAATAGCATCCTTTACTGCAAACAAGTTAACAAGCTAACAGTTGACAAGTTGCTATCGACCAAACGATGCTATCGCTAGCAGTGCTGTCTTCACATATTTAAAACTATCGGATATTTCATTCTATATCAAACGAAAGCTATATACATTTATCGTATTCAAAAAGATTATACAATGAATAATTAATTAAATTGCTTATCCGAGGAAACTGACAGCAAAATATGGCATTACTCATCTGAGCTAGCCGTTACAACATACAGCAGGTCGGCGCAAAAACGTCCTTTTCTTCTTCTGTTGTGGAGGTTAATGGCGGTTGGCCAACAAACCCTTGGCCAAATCAAAATGACTGTGAAATGACTGTTTATCCTCAGCACTGAATTACAATATTGTTTTTCTCTCTTCTCTGACAACCTTCCTTTCTTCATCTGAACTGCTTTCTTCTAATTCCTGTTTAACATTAGGTGACTTTTTACTAAATTAACTAAATAAATCAACTTTGACTACATTATTTCAAAACTATAATCTTGTGTCTGATTGCATTTTAATATGTCTGCATAAGTTGAATTTATTATTCCATATCTAATTGAGTAGATATTAATTTAAACTGTTTTATGGACTGTCTTTAAATGGTTATGATTGTGGACACCATATGTGCTCTAGAATTCATTAAATTGAACTGAACATTAACTTTTTAAAAGTAAGCTATTGTCACATTTATTAGAATAGTTATGAATATAAGCCTATGTGATCATCTGTGTTTTGGTTAAAATGTATATATATGTTAATAAATGATCAATGTACTTAGAAGGAAACGCTCTTTATTTGAGAACAGGTTGGAGAAGGAAGCAATAGCGCCATCTGGTGTCCAATGATTGTAAGCGAAAGGGGAATATCAATGTTTACTCTAGGGGGCGACGTCGCGCAGTAAATAAAAAAAATATCTTATAACCCATCATTATTGGGTTAAGTTGAGACAAACCACAATACATTCAACTGCTTATCTTAGGGAGCGCCCTTTCTGTTCCCCATCTAAAGTAACATCAGAGTTAGTGACACATCAGAGGGGCTGGGACTCACAAATGAGGTGGTCCCATCCAGTCCTCCTCCTGGCATCTTCATTTTCTCTGAGGACTGAAGCTCTATTAACAGAAAATGCGTGGAGTCGCTCAGTAAATAAGGATTTTTGTCACTATGCTGCAAGTGACAGTTGAGTCTGCGAGTGGAATTCCTAAAAAGAAAATTGGAAACCCGGATCCAATTACTACTGTTCTGTTCAGGGGTGAGAAATCTGTTAGTTTGATTTTTATTCATTATTATTTTTTTTTGTTATGCTTATGCACTCCATTTAAATTCTATTTAAATCAATATCTTTCTTTGTACTTTATTTTGGTTGCTATGTTATCATAATAAAGTAGTTAAGGCATTTTTTTTTATATATTGGCAACGATTCAATAAACAAGAGAGCCATCCTTATAAGGCCGTACTGACCTGATGCTTGTTTCCCCCAAGTGCTTTTTCCTTTTACCTTTTTTCTATTGTCAAAAAACGTTTGTATTGGATTTAAATGTTATTTCCACTAAGATTAGTGTCAGATTTAGTTACTTGAATGTCAAAGACGTTAAATTAATGGTAATAATGAAAATAATAATTGTAATAAAGAATGCATTCTTTATATTTTCAGGTGAAAAAAAGAAAACCAAAGCAATTAACAATGAGTTGAATCCAGTTTGGAATGAAGTAAGTGTATAATTACAATGTTGTGTTTGGAAATAATTATTAAAGTATAACTCATTGACAGCTTTGACAACTTTTTATGTGAAATTACAGGTCCTTGGGTTTGATCTGAAAGGTTCCCCCTTGGATCCATCTTCATATATTGATGTGGTTGTAAAGGACTATGAAACACTTGGGAAACATAAGTATGAAACCTTAATATAAGCTGTGGGTTGTGACACGTTGCAGTTATAATGATCATTTATGCGCTTTGAGGAGACTGTGATGTTTTTTATTCGAGCATCATTTCTTTGAGGGAAAATATTTGTCAGAAGGAGGGAAAAAATGAAAATAATTCTTGGCAGGCGAATAAAAAAAAAGAATATACTGCTTGAAATGTTTATTGTTTTAGACATAAGATTACCATGCTACTATACCTGTAAAGCTTAGCTGAAAACAATGTGTAAATTAACTTTTCCCTAGTTGCTTAACATCATCTTGAAACTTCACTCTGCTGTGCATAAGACTCAAATGTTGACCATTTTTAAAGAGTAATAATTCGTTCTTCTGTTTCATTCACAATTGAAATATTACCTTGACCATAAATATTGCCTTTTTTTCTCTTTCTAAACCTCAAATGTACAACACCCAATGCTGGGACAGATTACTTGTATCTCAGGTTAGCTATCCGATGCTCTGTGAGGGACATTCTTGCAAAAGTTTGGGTTCTTTTGTCATAATAAGATGCATGCAAAAAGACAGGGCAATGACAACATCTCTTCTGAGTCATTCTGTGGGTGAATGTAACAACATAAAAAGTTTTTCATCCAAAAAGAGGTAGGGACGTGATCTCTTTTCCTGAGACTCACCACCTGTAAGTGAAAATGGGGACCGGCACATAGAACAGCCTTACGTAAACTTATTATCAGAATAATTGACAATAAGGGGGACCACTTATTTTGATGATCCATCTGGAAAAAGAACATCCTCCACTATGCTTTTAAGTGATTTCTCTAATGCTGCCCTCCCAACAGATGATGGCAAAAGATCACACTCTCCTTAATAAACGGATTTTCTATTTTACAGTCATTTTTTTCCTATTTATTTGGGGAAAAAATACAGTTACCATTTACTTCATCCAAAAAGCAACTCAAGGACATTGTTGATTACTTACACAAAAAAATAATGAGGTACTGTTTAAAGTAACTTTTTTATACTTTTCAAAACCAGCATCATAAAAATGCATACCTTATTGTCCTTGCTAAGTTTGATGAACATGATAAAGCTCAAACTCAAAGTATTTTTGTAGTACTACTTTATTCAGGTCAGGCCAGCAAATGATTGGAAATAAATACTTAGAAACAGCATCTCAAAGAACAGATAAACCCCAAATACATTGTAATGAAAAGGAGAGCGGCCATACTTGACTGCTGTGAACAAGAAAAGCCACACAGCTGCAAGCCAAATATACATAAGTATCCCAGGAAATGATCATGATCCAGTCTTATATCCTGGACTCTGGGAGCATCTCTGGAGGATTGGGTGGACCCAGGGATGCTGATGTCCCTGCTGCTGTTTGGCTTTCCATAATGAATAAAGCACCGTTTATTGCTCGGTAAAATTCCACTTCACGTTGTCAAATAAAACAACTTGCTATGGTTGCTTTAGTTGCTATGGTTATAAATCATAAGAAATGTCCCAAAATATAACAACATCAGCAAAAATCCATTCAGCTACATGGATTCCAACACCAGAGGAGAAAAACATGTGAAAAAAGAGATTTCTATTCACAAATAGAGGAAATTAAATTCTTATAAGCAAGAAAAACCGAAACAAACTAGCAGAGTTTTTCCCAATATGCAACCACCTCAAGCAGTGCAATAATGGGATAGAATAATATAAAATAGAATAATACGTATCATTTTTGTAACATGACAAAATGCGAAATTGATTAATAGGTATAAATAATTTTCTTGGGGAGTATACTCCAGTAGCTCTATAAAGCTTTGAAGACTGTAATGTTAAAATATAAATATCAGCTTAAAAGTATGTAGTAGAAGGGATTTTAAGTGCATTTAGACAGGATGTTAATTAAAAAAGGACAATTATAAAAAAAATTATTTTAAAGAAATAACCATATACAAAATGCTTAAATGAATGACTTTAAAAAATACATGTATT